GCGCGAAGAGGTCGCGCGCCTGCGCCCCGGGGATGCGCCCGTTTCGCTGCACCGCTTGTAGCAGGTCGGTGGCGGCCGCCTCCATGACGATGTACAGCTTCCCGTTGCACACCTCGATGAACTCGAAGACGTGCACGATGTGCGGGTGCCGCACGCCCCGCAGGATGGACAGCTCCCGCGGCAGGAACTTGTTGACGAAGTCTGGAGGCGCGCGGCGCCGGTCCACCACCTTGATGGCCACCGTGCCCTTGTACTTCTTGGAGGTGGCCACCTTCACCTTGGAGTAGCTGCCCTCGCCGATCGTGCGGCCCAGCTTATAGCCGAGTTCGCTCAGGAGTTTGTCGCCCGACATGGTGGCGCCCGAGGGCGCACGGGGAGCAGGAGGCGGCTGTCGGGGGGCGGCCGGACTCCGATTTCAGGCCTAACCCATGGCGCTCGGCACCTGCAGCCCCGCGGCCCCATGCGCCCACTCCCCGGACTCTGCCGGCGCCGCGGCTTGTATCGCCTGGGTAACAATTTCTGCCTTGTGAAGTGACTGTGGGCGTCACTCCAGCCGGGCCCCACCCCAGGGGGCTGCTCCCTAGAGCCTCGTGCTTTGTGACTCAGTGTACCCGCAGTTCTTGACAAGAGGCCACTAGAAAAGGGCAGGGGCCACCACCCGGCGAAGAGGCTGCTCCTGGGATTGGAGCGCTTTCTCCTGAGTTCCTCCGAACTTTGTGTGCCCAGCTGGTGACCAGCTGGTGACCACCCGGAGCCCTCAGGTGCCCATAGAATCCCCGAGGGGACAGAAAACGGAATGGGGGGGCGTAACTTGGGGACCTGCCTCCCGACACCCCCACCCCACGAGCTTGGCGTTTCAGACTGCCCCGCCCAACTCCAGAAGGAAGCTGGACGCGAGGGCTTTTAGCACAAGGTCCAGAGCACCCGGGCAGGCTGTAGGTGCTAACAATGATCAAGTCACGCCCTGTCTGGAGGAGCAGCAAATGAGGGCTCCACGGAAACCGCGGTCAAAACCAGGCCGGCCGCCTGATCTCTCCTGAGTCCTGGAAGAACTAGGACGGGGACTTTAGGTTCCCAGAGCTACGGGAGAGCTTCGCTGCAGCTTCCGCCACACTTAGCTGGGCGGTGAATGTTTGCGTCACTTCCTCCCGGAACCGGAAGTGCGAGGTTCTGGAGGATGGCGGCACCGAAGGTGAAGCAGGACATGCCTCCGCCGGGGGGCTACGGCCCCATCGACTACAAACGGAACCTGCCGCGCCGAGGACTTTCGGGTTAGTGTCGCCATGCGCAGCGGTCTCAGGGTCTGGGCCTTTAGCGCGCTGCGGCAGGGGCGGAAGCCGGCGATACGAGAGGGCCTCAGTTTACCCGGAGCTGTGACCAGAGGCAGAGTCCGGGGGGTCCCCAGTGGCTTTAGTAACAACGATGGTAGCTGCTGAGTAACTGCAGCTTAGTGTCTGCTCCCTCCCTTCAGCCCGGAAGTTTGGTCCTGTTAACCGCTCCCCTTTTACAGTGAGTTAAACTGAGGCAGCGACCGTCCCGGGGTCACCCAAGGCCGGCTGGGACCCAGAGGGAATCTGTGAGCTGTTCTGTGCCCGGATTTCTCCCTCACAGCCCCGCTCCCCAAGAAAATGCCCCAAGAAACAGTATTAAGTTTTTCCAACATTTGAAGTAACATTTACATTTCATTATTGGATTTCTCGCAGGAAAACATAAAAGAGAACATAAAAGGTGCCCGTACTTAGACCTCAGAGTAAAGGAAAATATGAAAATTTAAAAGTAGTTTAAGATGGGTGTGTTGGCCCATGCCTGTAATCCCAGCACTCCGGAGGCTGAGGCAGAAGGATGGTTACGAGTTCAAGGCTAGCCTGAGCGACATAACAAGACCCTGTCTCCAAAAAAACAAAACCCTGTGCATGTTATGCAAATTATGTCTCAGTTACAAAACATTCGGGAGCTGGATGTGGTAGCCCACACCTGTCATTTGGGAGGCTGAAGCAGGAGGCTCACTGCAAGTTGAAAGCCACAGACCACTCAATGGTCCAGTGGCCGTTTACTGAATTCAGGCACACAAAGGCTGAGCCACCACAGGGGGGACTTCCTCTCTCTTCTTCAGCCAGTGTGTTAAGGATGTGTGACTAGGAGACTGCTGAGGAGAGCAACACCTGGCACAACAAAAGGTACCACACGGTGTCAAGAACTGGAAGATGACAGGGTAAAAATCATGTCTATGAGTTAAAAATAAAGAGTTCTAGTTGGATGTGGTGGCACACACCTGTGAGCCTGGCATGCTGGGCACCTGAAGCAAAACAACTGCAAGGGAACCCAGCCTGGGTAACATAAAAGGCCCTGTCTCAAAATAAACTTTAAAAAGGCTGGCAGCCGGGTGTGATGGCGCATGCCTATAATCCCAGCACTTGGGAGGCTGAGGCAGGAGGATCCCTGTGAGTTCGAAACCAGCCAGGGCTACTTAGTTCCAGGTCAGTTTCCACTACATAGTGAGACCCTGTCTTAAAAAACAAAACAAAACAAAACAAAACAACAACAACAACAAAACTTTAAAAAGGCCGGGCATAGTGGTAGCACACGCCTGTAATCGTAGCACTAAAGAGGCGAAGGCAAGAAGATAGCTGTGAGTTCAAGGCCAGCCTGAGCCACATAGGAAGACCCTGTCTCGATGAAAAAAGGGCTGGGGGTTTAGCTCAGAGAGAAAGCTGTGTGTTCAACTCCTAGACCCTCAGAGAGAGAGAGAGAGAGAGAGAGAGATGAATTGTGTTGCCCGCGCCCCCCCCCCCAGTGGAGCTTGCTCTGACTGCCTGGCAGTTAGAAAGCCTGGGTTCCAGGCCCAGTGTCTCAAGAAGAAAAAAAAAAGCCTTTGATCACATTGTGTTCCTTCAATCCCAAATCTACCCTGCAGCCTGTTTTGGCACAGCTCAGCGCTAAAAACATTTTACATTTGTAAATCATTGTCCTGGCAACTGAGACCCTCTGGCCTTGGAATCCTTAAAATGTGTTGTTGGATTTTTTTGTAGGTCTGGGGTTTGAACTGAGACAGGCAGACTGAGGCAGGTACTCTACCACTCACCTCTATTCTCATTTCTGCCTTCTTTTTTTTTCTTTGTACTGGGATTGAATTTAAGACCTTGTGCTTGCAAGGTGGGTGCAGAGCCACTGAGCTAAATGAAATTTTTTCCTTTTCTTTCTTTTGTTTTTTGAGACAGGATCTTGCTGTGTAGTCCAGGCTGGCCTGTAATTCTCGATGTAGCCCACCCAGGCTGGCCTCAGACTCCTGAGTGCTGGGATTACGTGCATGTGTCATCACACCTGGCTACTTTTTTGTTTCTTCGGAGACAGGGTCTTGCTGAATAGCCCAGGCTGGCTTTGAACTCTCATTGAGTATGCCTAGGTCCTGCTCCCCAACTGCCACACCCCATCCTCAGCCCAGCTCTGACCAGGTAAGCAGCCGCCTGTCAGCCACACCACCGTCCTGTCCAAGGCTTTGGGGCCCCAAGCCTGGTACCCACTCCGCCCTCCACCTGGACCACTTGTCACTGCCTTTGACCAGGGAGCGCAGGCCACTGTCAGTCCACACTGCCACTCACCAACACCAGCTCTTCCCTCTCCACAGCCTCCTAAGTCACCCTTCAGTCTTGCATCTTAGTGAACTTAATATAGCATACAGCACAATTGACTTGTAAAAAGTGTGGGGCTGCTGGGTGTGGCGGCACACGCCTGTCATACCAGCACTCCAGAGGCTGAGGCAGGAGGATCACTGAAACTTGAGGCCTTCCTGGGCTAGTGAGTTCAAGGCCAGCCCGGACTGTATAGTGAGACCTTGTCTCAAAAAATAGTACATGACTGAGCCTTCCTAGCAAGCACAAAGTCCTGAGTTCAAACCCCAGTACTGGAAAAAAAAAAAAAAGGTATGTGGAGATGGGGTATAGCACAGTGGTATAGCACTTGCTTAGCATGCACCAAGCCCTGGATTCCATCCTCAGCATCACAGAGAAAAATAAAGACTATAAGTACACATATGCACACACATAGTAAATGTGTCCAGTTCACTGAGTGCTTTTTTTTTCCAGTACTGGGAATTAAATCCAGGGCCTTTTTTTTTTTTTTTGTACTGGGGATTGAACTGAGGACCTTGCGCTTGGGAAGCAGGCACAGCACCACTGAGCTTAATCCCCAGCCCAGGACCTTTACTCTTGAGTTACATCTCTAGCCTTTTTTTTTTTTTAAATTGAATTTATTGGCAGTTTTATTTTTTTCCAACGGGGAATTAAATCCAGGGCCTTTTTTTTTTTTTTTGTACTGGGGATTGAACTGAGGACCTTGCGCTTGGGAAGCAGGCACAGCACCACTGAGCTTAATCCCCAGCCCAGGACCTTTACTCTTGAGTTACATCTCTAGCCTTTTTTTTTTTTTAAATTGAATTTATTGGCAGTTTTTAGGAATATAATAGTTACATTCATCATTGGGATCTTGTACCTTTACATGATATATTTTGGTTCTTATTTTTCCCCATACCCCTAGCTTCCCTTCACCCCCTCCACCCTTCCGTATTTACAGACTTTGTTTCCATTTTTCCTTTTCTCATATTTTTTCTTTTCCCTTCTTTCCTTTCCCCTACCCACTTCCCCTTTTTCTTCCTATTTCACATTATTAATTGTACCATTTGAATCTTATTTACACTTTGTTTTTCACACCAGAAAAACTATTCAGTATTTACACAGGTGTGTCCTATTTATTTCACTTAAGAGTATACACTCAGGCAGGGCGTGGTGGTGCACGCCTGTAATTCCAGCACTCGGGAGGCTGAGGCGGGAGGATTGCTGTGAGTTCGAGACCAGCCTGGGGTACATAGTGAGTTCCAGGTCAGTCTCAACTGAATAGTGAGACCCTGTCTCAAAAAAACAAACAAACAAACAAAAGTATAGACTCAATGTGCATCCATTTAGCTATAAATATCTCTAGTTTTTCTTTTTTTTTTTTTTTTTTTTTCCTTTTCAGTTTCTCATTCTTTATGACTGAATAGTACTACATCTTTCTTATTTAGTCTCCATTTGGGCTGTTTCCAAGTTTTAGCTATTACAAACTGTGCCAATATAAACATGGGTGAGCATATATCACTGTGCTATGATGCTTTTAATTCTTTTGGAAAGATACCAAGCAGAGGGATAGCTGGGTCAAATGGGACCTTTATTCCTAGTTCTTTGAGGTATCTCCATATTGATTTCCATAGTGGTTGCACCAGTCTGCACTCCCACCAACAATGGAGAAGGGTTCCTTTCTCCCCACAGCCCTGCCAGCATTTGTTTTTGGTTGATTTCTTGCTAGCAGCCATTCTTTGTGGGGTGAGGTGAAATCTCAGTGTTGTTTTCATCTGCTTCTCTTGAATGACCAGTGAGTGATGTTGAACATTTTTTCATATATTTATTTGCTGTTTTTACTTCTTTGAGAAATGTCTGTGCATTTCAGATGCCCATTTTTGAATTGGGTCTTATTTTTGAGTTCTTTATATATTCTAGATAATACACCTTTGTCTGAGGAACAGATGATAAAAATTTTTCCCACACTGTGGATTGTCTCTTAGCTCTGTTGGTGATTTCTCTTGTACTGCAGCTTTTTAATAGGATGAGATCCCAGTTGTTGATTCTCTTTTGGTACCAGAGATCAAGCTCAGGCCCTTGCACTTGCAAGGCAGGTAACAAAACCACTGAGCCAAATCCCCGGCCCCTAGTTGTTGATTCTTTGTGCTGGTTCCCATGCTACTAAGGATTTGTTCATAAAATCTTTTCCTATGCCAGTGTCTTTGAGAGTTCTACCTAACTTATCTTCCAGCAAGTTTAGTGTTTGTTTTAATGTTTAGATCTTTAATCCACTTGGCTTTTAGTTTAGTGCATGGTGAAAGATAAGGGTCTAGTTTTAATCTTTTCTAGCCTTTTATTTTGAGACAAGGTCTCACTGTAGTGTCCGGGCTGGGCTTGAATTTGCCATCCTCCTGCCTCAGCCTCCCAGAGTGCTGGGACCACAGGTGTGGACCACTATACACAGCCAGGCTCCTGATATTTAGTGTATGCACAGAGTGTGATCATCACCAGCAGCCACAGGTAGAGCACAGGGATCGCCCCACAGTGAAGCCACACCCCCTGTCTCTCTGGCAGCTACTAATCTACTTCCTGTCTCTGTGAATTTGTTCTTCACATTTCCTATAGATTAATTCATACACTCCGTGGCCTTTAATGCCTGGTGTATGCTTCGAGGTTCACATTATAACACGTCACTGTCTAGCTGTGTCTTTGAGACAGGATCTTGCTCTGTAGTTCCAGCTGGTATTGAACTCACTGTGTAGCCCAGGCCGACCTCGAACTCAAGGTGATCCTCCTGCTTCAGCCTCGAGTGCTGGGGTGACCGGCGTGTGCCACAGGCCTGGGCCCGTGTAGGTTTTCTCCTGAGAGAGTTTCAGCTGGTGCAGTGCAGCCTTTGATCTGAGTTGATTTTTGTGTATGAGCTAAGGACATCGCCTGGCCGCTCCGCACGTGGCTGTCCAGTTGTCCCATTTAGTGCAAAGGCTGTTCTTCCGCATTGAATTGTCTTGGCTCCCTTGTCCAGAATCAATTGACCATAAATATGCGGGTTTATTTCCGTCCCACTGCTGAACGTGTCCTCGAGTGCTAGGACCATGCTGTGCTGTACACACAGCTGCGTGGTTCGTTGGGAGCCAGGCACTTGTGAGCTCTGCAACTTTGTCCCACTTTTCCAGAGTCCTTTGGGCCATTCTGGCCCCGGTGCATCCATCCACGTGAACCCTGCAGGGGGCGATACACTCAGTGTGCTGCATGGACTTGGGGAGTGTTACCATCGCCCAAGGCTGCCTGTTCTCGTCTGTGCACTGACTGAGTTTTTCTTATTGCTGTTTTGGTTTTTTTGGTGCTAGGGATTAAACCCAGGGACTTCACGCTGAGCTACATTCCCAGCCCTTTTTATTTTTTGAGACAGGGTTTTGCTAAGTTCCCCAGGCTGGATTTGACTCTGCATTCCTGCCTCAACCTCCCGAGTGCTGGCATGACAGGCGTGCATTCCCCGCCGGCCTCTTAGCACGAGTTTCTAGCAGATGGAACGACACAGTAGGAACCTGAACCCTTTTCTCATTCACTTCCGGATCTAGCAGAGGTGCCGGCCAGCCCTGTGCCGGAGGCCTGCTGAAAAGCAAAGGGAAGGACAGGGACATTGGCTGCCCTCGGCGGACCCTGTGCCACCCCACGTCCTCATCACGGCATCAGTAGTCACCTACTGGGTGTGAACTGCAGCTGCGGGATTTGGGGTGCGGTGAGCCGGTCCAGCCATCCATCCTCCGGGTTGGATTAGAGCCAGGCTCCTGCTGATCCTCAGGAAATATTCATGGAGCCTCTGTCCCTCCCCTGGAGCATGCAAGGCCCTACCCAGCTGGGCCAGGAAGTCACAGTGCCACCCCTGCGGGGCACTGCCTTCCTCTGGTGGCCGCGTACAGCCCTCTGCAGCATGCGGGTGGTGGCCCTGGTGGGACCCAGCCGTGGACACTGTCAGAGCCGCCCTAGTGGGGACTGGCCACTTCTGGGAGATGACAGAACCAGGGCCACCCCGCTGCGATCCTCCGGGTGGGAGAGGAAAGCCCAGACGCCTGGCAGGAGGGCATGGACCTGCCCCCTTGCAGGCATCTCTGGGTGGCGCCCGTCGGGCTGGCCCTTGCTGGAGTGGCCGAGTGTGAGCGAGCCCCGTGTCCCTGTCCCCGCAGGCTACAGCATGTTCGCCCTGGGCATCGGGACCTTGCTCTACGGGTACTGGAGCATGGCAAAGTGGAATCGTGAACGCAGGTAGAGCCGGCGGCCTGTGGGTGGTGTGGTCAGGTGTTGCGGTTTGGTGTCCTGTCCCTGGGGCTGGTGAGCTTAGGCGCATCTGCCCTTGGGCGGCTGTGCAGTCCAAGCCCCACGGTGCACATGTTCTGGCCCCGAGTACATTTCTAAGCTTTCCCCTCAAAGACCAGCGAGCAGGAGCCGGGGCTGGGTGTGCATAGTACCCCCCCAGGCAATGGGGCTATAGAGCCAGGGCATGTGGGCGTGGCGCAGGGACTAGCAGATGAGGCCGCTTGCTCCCTGGGCTGCTGGTCACCTCCCTGCCAGTGAGGATCTTGAAAATTACTGGGCACAGGGAGAAGAGAGAACCGCCCTCGCCTGCTTGCACCCTGTAGTTATTTTGAGACAAGCGGACGTGGTTCTGTAAGGCCCAGAGCCCCGTGATGACTGTCCCCCCCGTGCACCGAGGTCATCAGGCTGGGCTATTTTTAGAGGGGAGAAGTTTTTAATTGAAGAGAAAGTGTGAAGCCAACAGTCCTGAGTGCGCTCGCCAGCTGCCCGCCCTCTGGCCCTCCTACCTGGCTGCTGTCCAGCCCAGCATCCCTTCCGCCTGCCACCACCCGAGCCCTCTCCTCCCCACCCCATATGGCAGCCTCCTGTGACCCCAGCGTCGCCTTTGGGTTCCACAGGCGCCTGCAGATCGAGGACTTGGAGGCCCGCATCGCGCTGATGCCGCTGTTGCAGGCTGAGAGGGACCGCAGGTAGGATTGGAGCAGGCGGGAGATGATCACAGACCTAGAGGGGAGAGAAAGGCTTCCTGGAGGAGGGGGCAGTGGGGCTGGGGCAGGAGCCAGGATAGGAGTTTGCCAGAGGGAAGGAGGACAGGGAGAGGGGGCTTGGCGTGGTTGCCAGCCTTTCATTTCAGCTCCTGAGGAGGCTGAGGCAGGAGGATTGCAAGTTTTAGATCAGCCTGGGCAACTTAGACTGTGTCTCAAAATACAATGTTAAAACGAGGTGGGGGATTGTGCGGCTCAGTGGTGAGCGCTTGCCTAGCATGCATAGGCTCTGGGTTCCACCTGCAGCACCGCAAAATAAAAAGGGAAACGGAGGGAGGGAGGGCTGGAGGGAGGCTGCTAACCCCCACCCACCCCAGGGTCCTGCGGATGCTGAGGGAGAACCTGGAGGAGGAGGCCATCATCATGAAGGACGTGCCCGGCTGGAAGGTGAGGGGCTCCGGGAGAGCCGGGTTCTGGGGAGCGGGTGGGCCTGGCCCAGCGCCCCTCGCATCCCTCTGTCCTGGTCCTCAGGTGGGCGAGTCCGTGTTCCACACCACTCGCTGGGTGACCCCAGACATCGGCGAGCTGTACGCACTGCGCACGCCAGAGGAGGTCTTCAACGCCAGCTACGGCTTCATGTGGTTCTCGGCGTAGGGCGCCGCTCGGAATAAACGTGCGTGTGGCCCGACCGGCTCCTGTCTGTCCGCCCCGACCCCTGCGGTCCCCCAGACCGGGATCCCCCAGCTCCGGCAGCAGCAGGCCCGCCTCTCACCACTACCCGGGACTTAGTTTCCCCGCTGCTGTCCGAGCTCTTCGCTTCCCTCCGCCCTCTGGTGGCGGCTCCAATCAGATCGGGAAGAGTTAAGTCGGCCCACACACGCCGGCCAATGGGCACGCGCAGCGCCTTCGCGGCGCCTCCCGATTGGCGCGCACTCTGATGGGCGGGAGGAGGGTCACCCCGCCCCCCTGCTGCGCTAAAAAGGCCTCAGCTGAACGGAGGCCGCGCACCCGCTCACCTCGGCCATGAGCGGCACGGACCCTGCGGAGACCCCTGAGGAGCGAAGTTTCCTCAGGTCAGCGGGGAGAGGGGCGGGCCGGGAGGGTCCTGGTACCAGGGCTGGGAGGGCAGAGCAGGGTCGAAGACGGCATCAGCATCGCGGGAGCGAGCCGCCCGCCTTTGCCGGAGAGAGCCTGCGGCTGCCGACGCCTCCGGAGCCCCGTTGCCAAGGAAACCGCATCCACGGCGCCGGCCCCTCATGAATATTCATCAGCACTTCGCCTTGCTGCCCCCCAGCACCTGTGGGGCCGCTGGGGATCTGCCTTGCTTGTTCCTGTCCAGATACGGAAACAGAGCCGAGAGGGGTTCCGCTGCCCGAGCCACAGCCCCAGCTGGCGCG